GCACAGCCGCTCTTCAGAGTATACTCCCTGGTGGAGGTGGAGGGTAAAGCGTTTCACTGCTAGCTTTAACAGTGTGCACCAAAATACCACGCCATTAAAGCCAAGAGCACAGGGCGCCAATCACGGGACACAAAGTGGGCCGTCGCCTTAAACGACCACAGGTCGGGGGTGTGTGGGTCGAGATGGGCGCTGAGCGGGGAGGGTTCCCAGGTGCCCCGCGCCCACGATGGACCGCAGGTAGGGGGTGGGCTCCCACGTACCTCCCAGCCCACGATGGACACCTGCCACCGTGCTATCTTGTCTATGCTTTCCAGCTTGCGTTTTCGCTCATTGATCAAACAGGCGACGTTCTTCATGGCCTCGTACGCTGCCTTTATGTTCCTGTAATCGCTGCAAAGTGAGGGGTTAATTTTAACCACGTAATGGGCACCTTGCAAATGAGGACCTACGAAATAATACATTCCATCTGTGACTGTACACTGACAGTCTAGACAAGATGGCCTTTAAACAATAGCCATTGTTCCCCTTCCCTTGTTCCTTCGTGAATAGGCTACAGTTCGCATAGGTTAAGGGAGCCGACCGAATGCCACCAAGAATTCTGTGGAATAAGAATGTTGTCGTTCGTTTCCCAGAAGCCACAGTGAAATGAAGCAAAGGCCACAAGAAATAAGTTTCAATCACAGTGATGACGGATTATTTTCATTAATAAAGAAAAGACAGGCCTCTGTTATTGCTCTAATCCTCATAGAGCGAGTTCTGACATATAAAGTACTCTAACGATCCCCACCCATTCTCAAGAGGGGTGATTTGCTCTGAGTCAGGCAAGGAGGGGAGGACACAAGTGAGTTACGTAACTGTGGACACGACATTTCCCTCATCCACGCATCTTTACTTCTGGTGCTTTCTACCGGCCACAGTCAAATCACACTCACATGTCTCCCCCAGCAGCTCCTCTAACCCTGGAGGCACCGGGAAAACAGAAGCTCCGATCTGCACACAGGCTGCCAGAGAGCGTGTCTGGGGCCGGAAAGGTTTACATCCAAGTCTCGCTTCACGTTAACAATTCAGGGACATGTAAACCGGTCGCCCAGCTAACGAGCTAAGTCTTTTTTTTTCCCCCACACTTTCCTGTGTCTTCCAGGACACACAGAGCCTCTGGGTCTCAGGTGGACTGGATTGCAGTCCTCCTGCACAGCCAGGAAAAAAGCCTTGGGAGCAGACTCTGCTGTCTATGTACCAAACACCGCTCATCTGCACTCCTGGGAGGTCCCTGGGCATCCCCGCTACCCCATTCCCGGACAGACCAGACCCCACTGTCTTCAGACAGAAGCGGAGCAGAAAAGAAGAACAAAGTGACACAGAGGGGCTGCCAAAATAATGGGAGCAAACACCCCCTCAGAAAGGGCTCCAGCAATGAAGAAAGTGTGCAAAATAATTGTACTTTTTTCCCACAAGCTTTTCTGTACAATTCCAGGAAAGAGACAGAGTGTAATGGTTTTAAAAAATATTTTGTTTTGTTTTACTTCAGACGAGGAAATGGGCTTTTTGTCATTTCTTTTAAAATGATTTTTTGGAAACAGCCAGACTATACAAATGCCTCATAGTGAAAAATGCCCTTAAAAGAGAAAAATTAAGTGTTGAAGGGTGATGAGTACGCTCCTGGCATAGCTTCCCTGTCTTTCGAGACGTTCTGCTTCTTAATTTGCTTATTTATTTTTTCAGGTTCCTCATCACGATGACTTTTTATTTTTAAAAAAATTTCTTCAAATTTGCGACTCGCTTGACTTTGCTATTTTCTTTCTGTCAAAGTTTTCTGATTTTTCCATCAGAAGAAAAAAAAACATAACATAGCTCTTTCCTTTTATCTATTTCAATCAACTCCTTTCTCTTATTCCTTTCACCTTAATTCTTGAAACTAATATCATCATCTGGGTATGTTGTTTAGCGACCCAGCTCTTTCTTTCGACCTTCTGATCTAATTGCGAAAAGACCCCTGTCCCAGCCCCGTCTCTCCGCAGGAGTCCAGGCGCAGAGGACAGAAGAATGACCTGTCCCCCGCATCCTCCAGAGCAGGCGCTGCCGTGGAGAATCCCACTGCTCTCGGGGCAATAGTTAGATGTTAAAACCCAGAACCATGTGGTTTGCTGCAGCAGATTTCCTCCGGGCACAATTTCTCCCCGCTCCCTTTTCTCACTAGACCCTTTCAAGACTGTCCTTCCAAGGGCTGCTGGTGGAGTGAAAGCTTTGTGCCGTGACACAGATGTCACGGATGAGGTCTGGTTCTCATCGAAAACAATAAGCTTTGTCCTAAAACCTTGCTGGACGACGGCTGTGTCCCCACTGGCCTGCCAGTTGTGGGCTGCTGAGAACACAGCGAGGACCCCATGGCTGCCGGCGAAAGGGGCCCTGTGGTGGAGACCCTTCCCCACATCTCAGAGAGGGGGCAGGCCTGCTCCAACACATAATGGGTGACAGCTCACGTACAATCACAGCACGATCAGATGTTCTTCTGTGCATGCAGGGAAGTGATGAGTTGCTACTCGGTAAGCAGAGGTCAATATTTTTGGGTCGCTCAGAAGAATTCACAAAGTAAGCCCCAAAGGGAGATGGAGCATTCAGGTAACCGTGACGAGAAGCCCTATGCTCAGAGCCAGAGGGAACAGGGTGGACGGGATCAGGAGACAGAACAAGCACCGAGCTGGACCAGAAAGGGCTCAGAGCCCAACAGGATCTCAGGAGGATGTGTCCCCCAAGTGGAGCCCAAACACTACACTAACCCTTGAGACTCCCTACTCTGTTTCAGAGTTCAAATTTTTCTGTGTCCTCACCCCTTTGTGAAGGAACTTTTTGTTCCAGCATATAACACAGCCAGCCCTCCATACCTAGGGGTTCTGCATCCGTGATTCAACCAACCGCAGACTGAAAATATTTGGGAAAAAGATTCCAGAAAGTTCCAAAGAGCAAAACTTGAATTTGCCACAGGCCAGCAACTATTTACACAGCATTAACATTGTATTTATAACTGTTTACATCGTATTAGATATCAGAAGTAATCTAGAGATGAGGTAAACTATCTGGGAAGCCGCACACGGGTTATATGTAAATACTGAGCCATTTTCTATAAGGGACTTGAGCATCCTCTGATTTTAGTGTCCAGGGGTCCTGAAGCCAATCTCCTTGGATACCGAGGGCTGACTGTACTGCTCTGAGGGTGAGCTGGCCTGAAATATCTTAAGGATAAAGAAGAGGAAAGAAAATATTCCTGAAACTGTATTCACACCAGTCTATTTTTTTAAATTGTTTTTATTCACTACTGAGTAGCTACAAAAGAGTATTTGTAAAACATATGTCACTTATAATGACAGACAACACAATAAAAATCCCCCACCTGCTCATGACACAGTTTAAGAATTAACTCTTAGTTTCTAATATCTCTAGAAATGGATATTCGGGAGGCTCTTCAATGACCCCCTTTCAGTAGTCAACAACCCTGAACTTTCTAAACGACCTGCAAACGTCTTCCCGACAGCTGACTGAGAGCACCAGGAGGGCACCGCAGCCCTCCCCCCTCCCGCCCCCGCAGCGCCCCCCGCCCCCCCACCACGTGCTGGCATCCAGGG